GTGAGAAAGTGTTCTAGATTTTTGTTTGTGTCCCAGATTAGTGAGAAGCCCCCTCGCCAACGTCAAGGCCCCGGGACATGAGGGACAGCATCAAAGGGCAAAGTGCACAAATGGTAAATAAACATATGGTTACAAAGTAGTTATATTATATTGCAGACAAATATAATTACAGATAAATAAGATCAGAGGTAAATAAGATTACATCACAAAACTGTTATTATACTAATACTTGCAAACTTATGCGATCCACCTTTCATGTATTCCATTATTTCTCTATTTGCAAAATCTTCAACTATTACTTTAATTCTCATATCAGCTCCCAGATATCTATTCCGCTTGGGCTGCGGTTCATCTCCACGTACAAATTGTTCATAGCATTGATCAATTGATTTTTGAACACGCCTGCGACCATCTATGAATTCCCATAATGTGGGATGTGAAACATCAAATGATGATGACACAAAATTTATTTGATGATGATGCAAACTTATTCTAAAAATAAATAAAAATACGAAAAGTATGGCGTCACACAAAAGGAAAAAAAAGTATGGCGTCGAACTGACCCCGCGTCGAAACGACCTCGTGTCGAACTGACCCCGCGTCGAAACGACCTCGTGTCGAACTGACCACGCGTCGAAACGCTGGCGTCGAACCGTTGGCGTCGAACTGACCTGTACCGGTCACTACAGTCGCACGAGACACTTTACCACTACTGACGTGTGACAATAGCATTTTTGAACTCTGATTCCGTACCTAGTACGGTATTGAAGGTTAGAAGAAGGGAGTGTCTATTCCCACATGATCAAAGCCAGATATCTAGTTGGTCGAAAGATAAAATTTCTGCTAAGAAATCATGTTAGCTGGTGCGAGTCGTCTGATTGGGTGCAAGGTTGAAGTTCTGATAAATTTCTCATAGCATAATATAGAATCACAATGAAAAAAAGCTGTAGGTTTTCCCTTAGTTCAGTTAACCAATTATTCAAGTTTTTATTATCTTTTCTGAACTTCTCAATTTGCCCTAGCATTTCCTCGCCAGGATGCAAATTTAAAGTTAAGTGAAGCGATTATGTAAATGGATGAATCTGGGAGTTTATTCAGAACGTCAGTAATGTATCCCGTGTCTGCAGTGTTCAAGCTTTGTGAACACTGTCACTACCTGACAGAGACGGAACATGTCGGGAAAAGGATATACCGTAATATTCGCATAAAATAGAACCATGAATCTTCTACCTTTTTATTAAAAAGCCGGACACATCCCGCTTTGCGCGATATTCGCAGCGATACTTGATAAATAAATGGATACTTTCTCTCCTTTATCACTTTTTTCTTAGAGAATTAAGTCAATGCATTTCCACACGTGAAGTGCCTTTAAGGCACCAATTTTTTTAATCGAATACATCGCAAATCTCATCATATTACAGCTTCATTTGTTGAATTCGATTACATATTGAAAAACTTGTTTGTGATTGAAAAAGAGAAAGCTCTGTTCAGCCGCCCTCGAAATGATGTTTTGATACAGATTTTGAATAAATTTAATTTGAATAAATAAATTAATTTTATTCATAATCTATATCAAACAAAAAATGTCCTTGTCTAATCTTAAAATGTACCACCTATTTTTACATTTCGTTTTGCGAAATTAAAATGAAATAAAATGAAATACACAAAAATAAGTTGACTGTATTATACAAACGAAATTTAATCTGTGGTTTGTCTCGACAAAAATGTATTTTAAAAATTTCAAAAGATCCTTTTAGATTGTTATAACTATGTAAGTTTAGTAATTAATACACTTTTGCGAAGCCTGATTCACGGAAACTAGTTGCTTTCCAGTGGTTGCAATTCCATTCATAGCTGAAGCCAGTTACTGGCTACAGCTTTATAATCATACAAATCAACACTCTCAAAACTATTTATTTAACACATTACGAAATAAATTATTTTCATGCTCTTAAGAATCAAACATGTCAAAGATCAAACATGCTATTATATGTGCTTCATTTATAATAGTAACCTAAATTAAATGTAGTATTTATTAAATGTAAACTAAACCTACTTCACGTTCAGTAAGAAAAGGAGTTTGCAATTAGTAAACCATGTTAATTAAAAATGTAGCGATCAAAATTTTGTTGATTTCTTGTAAAAAAAATTAAGAAAAACGAAGAAGAAAAAGAAACATTTTCAAGTGCCTTTCAAGAGAATATTTTTATCGATCAGGAAATTTAAATCATCTGACACTAGTACTGAACTTTGAGCTTTTAAAATTAAAAACCTAAGTCATTTAAAATACGTTGCTATATTGCTTATTTTCCTAGCTAAATAAGTTATTTTTCATTGCATTCGTAACAATTGTTTTGCAAATTTAGACCACAGGACTATGAATTTCTAGGATATATTTCTTCCAATTTCACTTATGAAATGTTTTAATAAAAATGTATAATTGAAATAAAGTATAAATTTAACATTCCTTAAGAACGCAGGATATTTCTATGTGATTTAAATTTAAAATAAAACTTTTAAATTTGCAATTTAGAAGTTTATGTCATACAAAATATAATATTCTATCCTTGTCAAAAATTACGTGTGCATTTTTTCTGTTACTTTTCTGTGGTACAAACATGTAATCCGCCTTTTACATTTCTTACTTATAAAAATAAATATGGAAAATTATATAAGAACCCAGTTTAACCGTGTGCATCAAAGATGTTTTTTCAAGAATAAAAAGATATTCTACGAGCTATGACTGTAAATATGCAACACCTACATCACGTTCTACTTCATCCACAATAAAGCGTACAGCATTACACTGAATGCATGTAAATGTATCTTTTCTAAGATAAGTTATTCACGTATAGAAAATATGTAAATTTAATTTATATTTAAAAAGTAGAAAATCTAAATATAAGAAAATTTGATTTTCAATTTTTTGGTATGAAAAAGCTTTAAATTTAGATTTTTGAGTAAGAAACCTTAAATGCTACTCTGTTGTTTACTTCATAAGCTCCTATTCCAAAAAACAATACTATGTCTCTACATAAAGCTCTGATGTTGAGTTGCGTTTTGCTGAAAGTAGCATCCAATCAGCAGAGAGCTTAGTCTATGTACTACTTCCTTTCGGAGAAAGTTAATCAAATGTAAGTGTGCGAAGAAGTTCTCAGAAAGTTAGCGATGGCATTTCTGGGAATTGCTCATCCTAAAATGATAAGGCTTAGAGGATGGAAAGAGGAGCCCTTACGGAAAATATGGATCATTATTTTAGACACATAAAGCACTTTCAGTGCAAGAATTTTATTTCAGATTATTTTTTTATGCTTGCGTATATTTAAATTATAAGCTGCCTTTTAAACCAAATTTTTTCTCCTTCAGAATAGCAACATGAAGAAGATGTATATTAAATATATCGAATATAAATAAACATTTTGCACTTTCAAGTGAATCTAATTTTCAGGTCTCTAAATGCGTTGTTATTGAGAGTACACACGGGAATTTTAGGGTATATGTGCGTGTCCGTAATTTTCGTTTGCAGTAACTCAGATTCAGACTATTGCAAAAGAGGAAAAAAGTGCTTGTGCTTTGTACTTGTCTTTTGCAATCTGTACTAAAATGCCACCTTTTTGTATCCTTTTTGATGGAATTAGGGTTGTATATAAATTCTGTGTAGGAGAAAAATTAACCAAATACACTTCTCGCCTTTTATTCGTAGATAAATAACACTTCATTCAAAATTGTGACTGTTCAATAATTTCATCAACTGATCGCCGATATAGAATGGTGTGGTGGTTAGCGCAGGATGATGAATGTCTGAGGTTTTAGATCCACGTTATACAGGGTGTTTCAAACTGGATGTCAGAAATGTAAGGACAGGTAGACGGGACCTGAATAAACAGATTTCGTATAGGAATGTGTGTGGTAATGCCGCATTAAAGCGCTAGCACGTAAAGCAGTATGAATCACAGAAAACTGAAAAGGCAAGGAAAGACAAAGGAAAAAAGTATTAGTTGTTTACAATAGGTACCTAAAATAGCGGCCATCTACAGCGATACAAGATTTACAGTGGCGGCGCTTGGATCGGAGTACATTAGAAAAGATGTTAGGCATGTCGAGCACATGTCCAGTAGCAACAGAGAAGCGGGCAACAAGATCTTCTGCAGATGTGACGAGACTCCGTCCACGAAGTCTTTAACCCATTAACTGCCAGATTTTTTTTAAAAATATTTTTTAATATATAGTTATGTATTTACATGTAAACCAATGTAGTACATTAAATTTTACAATACAGAAAAAAAAATATGTTTTTTATGGATTTAAAAATCAATCCCCATTTGGGGATCACGGTACATTGCATGTAAATAACTGTAAATTTTTTTAAGAGTGCCATGGAATAACACATTCTACGTGTAATCCTACATCACACTTCACGCACTGTTTCCGAACATTTTTTTTACAAACCGCACATTTTCTTTGTTTTCCGTCCAATTTTCTTTCTAAATAATGTCCTTGAGGATTTTTTCTTACGTCTTCTGGTACGCGCTTTCTGTGAACTCACACTGTACGATGGTCGTCCACAATTTTTCGGGTCAGACACGGAATGTAAATTCAAATAGAACCGTGCAACTTCTCGTCTGAAATTTAATAGCGGCATTTTTCCATTAGCAATACAATATTGTATGAGCATTAACTAGAGCCACATCCACTGCATTAGTGAAAATAGGAAAGTACCATTTTTTGCCTCTAATTTTTATCCTATACTTTTGTACATTCCAGTCAAGCTTGTCAACACCTCCCATGTTCTTACTGTAATTTATAATGGCATTGGGTTGTGGAATTAATATTTTTTTTTCTCAGCCCTAGACCATCTCGGCACACGTCCCAAAGGTAAAACTTCCAAATGATTTGATAACATTTTAACAATGCTGTTATCTTTCCAAACAAGACCAAATATTCCATTTATTTCATCATATCTATAATCAAAAGCCCCTCTAAATTCTTTCTTCATTTTCCTATCTGTTTTTTATAGGGCACTTATTCATCCTATTACATCTCACCGTTCCTGTCGCAGGTATATTTCTCTCTTTTAGATTTTTCAGCAAATCAAAACTTGTGAAAAAATTATCGAAATAAAAGCAGTGTTCCTCTGGTTTGTCTATGGTTGCTATCTTATTCAATATTACTGACACACCTAATCCATAAGTATCTCCTTCTAAATTATCTTCTTCTGAAATTCTACTTGGCTTACCTTCATAGATGTCAGCATTATAGCAATATCCGGTCACACCACAACACATTGCCCATTGCTTGAACCCAAAGCGAATGGGCTTTCCTCTAATAAACTGCTTTAGAAAATGATGACCATAATAACGTACCATTTGTTCATCAATACATATGTTATACGAAAATACGCCGAACTGCATAAATGCTTTATTCAGCTCATCCAAGATTGGTCGTATTTTAAATAATCTGTCTTTGTTTCCATTTATTAGTGGTATATTTGTATTGTCACTGAAAGGTAGATTTCTTTTTATTTCAATATAACGATTTTTCGACATACATTTCCTTACAATTCCAATATCTATATCTTCTTCTTCTGACCAATACATCTGCTCTTGAGGCAAAGAGTGATATCCAGTTAACAGTAAAAATCCCAAAAATTTTTTGAAGCAGTCTGAAGAGAGCGTAAATTGGTGACGATTATTTTGAGTTGCATAAGATACACTTTGCTGTACGATGTGATTTACTAGATCATCTGTGAAGAACATTTCAAAAATTTCTACTGGTCTTTTATCTTTTACTCTTTCTATCATGGTCATTCTACGTTGCTCGCACTCTTCTTCTCCCTGACTAGAAATGTTGAATGATGCTCTTTCTCTTTTCCACCTTGATATGGGTTTTTCATTTTTAGGTTTCTTTTTTCTTTGAACAGTAACTTCTTCATTACACCTACCGCCATGAATTTCTAATGAACCTGGAACATCGTTTGGAATTGTATCTTCCAGAATGTTGTCATCTATATCTTCTAAATCAGACACATCATCCGCTCTATCTGGTGGTAATTCAACTATGTCAATAGTACCTCCTGGGTCATCATCATCTGTCAAATCAAGATCATTGTCCCAGTATTCTTCAAGCTCTCTTAGCGTTGAAAATTTTCTTCTACTCATGATTATCCAAATGAAATAAAAAAATATTTAAAAAACACAAATTATAATAATACTGACATTTATCAAAATCCAACCATGTTGATCTTGCGGATAAAACTCTCTAAATGACACAACTTTTCAGCACAATGTTCATGTCCATCTGCTCTAAAATTTTAAATATCTTGCCCAATAGACGAAAAGGACTGGCGACGTCCCACCCCAATTAGAAGCAGGTGCGTTTCAGAATCACCTGCTCTCAACACCTGCTATTTCCACCCCCACATCTTGTTTCTATTATTATTATTAGTGGGCAAATTCAACATTTTCGTTAGAAACATTCTTTGTGGAACTCTCCCCCTTTCTTTCCCCCGTATCAAGTCTATATTTGTCAGTGGAAGCATTCCACACTTTTGTGGGTAACAGCCTTTTTGGAAATTCCGGAAACATATTGCGCCAGATAACTGAACAAATGAAAATTTCAATTGTAGCATAAATAAATCATTTTACATTGCAATAACCGTGAGCCCCAAATGGGGATCATTGTATTTTACAGGTGCTGACGGCATGAAGTAAACAATGTGCTCAATTTTTATTTTATATTACTCAGAACTCATGTGCAAACAACCTCTGTCAGAAAAAAATAATTCATTTTAATATAAATTAACAGATATTCACTTAGAAAATAGACATATGTGAAAAAGCGTTGTTTACAGGAAATTTTTCGAAAAAATGTCATATATGTATTTTATTTTGCAAATAAAACTAATAAATTAGCTATCTACATTAAGAGTAGACTATTATGTAGACACATGACTTTAAAAATAAATGAAAACCTAAAATTTAGGGATGAACAAAATAAAAATTTTCGTGATCCCCAAATGGGGCCCATGGCAGGGAATGGGTTAATATGATCCCAAAAGAAGAAATACAAGAAGGTTAAATCAGGAGAACGCGGTGGCCAGGGAACTGGTCCTCCCAGTCCTATAAAGCGTTGGCTATAGACAGTACTTAGGTGATTCCTGACATTCCGACTAAAAGTGAGCTGGGGCCCTCATCGTGCTGGAACCACATTCGTCTGCGACGAGCTGGAGGAACATCGACCAAACGTTCAGGTAAGACCGCCCTGTAGAATCGCTCCCTCTACATTCTTTGAGCAGTTAATTCATTTCCTTGTGCAGCCCCATACATGAAATTCATGTCGACAAGCTTGGTGTAACGATGCATGTTGCATGAGATAAGTGCGGAAAATGGAGAATCCAGGTAGCGCAGCACTTTTATACGCCGTACTCATCAGCGTTTCTACCTGCTCAACGTGGCATTACCGCATACACAATCCTCTACGAAATATGCTCAATTAGGCCACTCTACCTGCCTTTACGTTTTTGACATATAGTTTTTAACCACCCTGTATATCGAGATATGGCGAAGTACATGAAAGCTGTCCAGGTAAAGGAAGGGATGCCTTCATATTACATATTGGGAAAACCACCCGGAATCTCTAAAATTCGCCAAAATTTGAATGCGCGTCAGATTTTTCAGTATCCAGCATCTTTTAGGCTCCCTGGAGGGTGAACGTTCTGTCGAGATGTGAATCTTACTAGTGTTTTGCGGCAATAGAGTACTTAAAATCTATGCTGCGAAAAAGCATATCATGAAAATCCACAACACAGCCTAGAAAGCTTCAAAAGAAATTTAAACCCTTTAAAAACTTAACTCATAATAGGAATTTCTTGGAGTTTGTTTTAATTGTTCCGTGGTTTAATCATGAAGATATAATTGATATATTTTCTCAAGATACATTTTCTCTAATATAACATAATATTTATTTTTAATTTTTCTAAATAAAAGATATTTACTGCAATTACTTTAACCATACTGGGAAATGATTAACGAACTACGACATATATATGAGCAAAATTATTTAACATCTGTGGTATTTGCTTAATGTAAATCAAAATATATTTTAATAAATAATAATGAAGCAAATATTTCGTATTCTTTCACTTTGTAAGGATTATGTTAATTTTATTAACAGTTAAATTTGAAGTTAAACTTCCTTTCCTATCGATTCTTAATTTCAACTTACAACTTCCGGCCAGAACGTAGTTTTAGAATCACGTCTGAATGCTAATGAGAAAGCGTGGTATTTAACCGCGAAGTTCTACAGTCTTAATGAGAGAGATACCATATGTTCTGGCTGCACGCGTCTGCCTTTTTAGGCTACTCTCGTAAGCTATTATTACTCTCGACCGCACTTTAGACCCTTGATAGCTTCACAGTCAATTAGCGTTAAGGGGCCAACTCTGTTAGAATTTTGTTAGCTTCGGCTATATCTCTTTAGTTAAGATTAGTTTAGTATAATTCTTAGTCTCTTATGTTGAAGCCCAAGTGTCGGCTTTATTGTACAACTCCAATTGAGTTTTGTTAAAATTTAATTGGAATAATAAAGGTTTATTTCACCCTTATTACTTGTTGTGTCTTGTACACGAACTCAAGCGAATATTCGCTTACTAGTTCATAAGGTTCTTCACTTTCAACTGTAACCTAGAAATACACAGTGGAGAATCCTACAACTTATATATTCAAATATATTCTTTCACTTAACCTGCCTCAGTGGGCCTTTTTAGATTATACCTGATTCCAATTTAATAAATAATGGTAAATAACTTCAGTATACGTTCATGAATTATTTCTTGCTTCGGAGAAATTAATCACTGAATTAAAGCAAAATTCTACTAAAAATAAGATATATTCAGAAAATGAAGAAATAAATTCTGAAGAATTTAAAATCATAGAAAAGGGGACAATGCTTCATTAATATTAACTTCGAGCGAAAAATAAATGCATTATTTCTTTTGGCTACCTAGCTTTTAATGCATTTCCGACTTTGAGTCAAAAATAACGAATGTGGCTTTTACTTTAATAATCATTACTTTAAATCAGGAATCTTTTTTTTTCCTCATGGATAAAATAAGAAACTAACTCAATTTGATTTATCTTTAGATTATTTCATAGCCATTTTTAAATTTTCAGACGTTCTTATTTTAGATGAAATTTAAGTAACTTGCAGCAAATTAAAGTTTCCATGAATTGCAAAATCGTCTGTAAAAATAAAATTCTAAGTATAATAAAATTATTAAGGTAATCTCTCATGAATTCAAGAAAATGAGGTCTACAGATGTTAAAACATTTTTGTGGCAAATGGATATTTTTGTATCTGTAACCGTGGAAAGTGAATTATGCTGCTAATGATGAATCTTGTATTTTTTAAAAGTAATATAGATCATTACATTTTCGTATTATACTAGAAATTTTAATTTGTGTCTGTGAATGACCATTGCCTTTTAGTTGAAATCTGTGTGTATCAATTGTCATTTAGTTATTATAATGGAACTTTTGAAATAATTAATCTCGTTTTTCTTTTAAAAGTAATAGAGACCATTCACTTTTAGTTATATACTGGAAATTTTGAAATTACATTTTAAATTTACGTAAGGCATTTTAGGAATCCTACGCTAGTTAATTTTCTGCAGACATAAGACGATATTCACACAGTTAATTCGTGAATTAGAGGCACATGTTGTTTACAATTAAGCTTTTAGTTATTTAACTTACTTGCAGCACTAACAGGTTTTAACTAAACATTATTCATGATTCAAATGATTCTTCTAAATCGGTACCACATATCTAATGCATTTAGTAATGCATTTAACTTAAAGGAAATAATTACTGATTTTAAATCCTCTCTTAGGGTTTGTTGTTCAAAGATCTTACCTGAATCAGTGAATTGCATTAGGCATTTGAGTACAGTTTAATAGTTAATGATTGAATTTGAATCGCCTCTTTGAATCGCCTTTCCGCCTGCTGTTTCAGTATGTTCATTGTCCATGCGTAGCTTCTGCAGTTTATATATTTTTTAGCAACTTAGTTACTGAAAGAAGTTGTATTCCTCAAAATATTTTCAAATTCATAATTGTGATGCAAATGCATGCCTGGCCGAAATTTCGATTTGAATGATATTTAAGTTGTTGATTTTTTTTATTAATATACAGGGTGACCCAAAAGTACGTTAACATTCAATAATTCAAAGATTTAATGAATTCAATAATTCAATGAATTCAATGAATTCAATGAACAGAAAATTCAATAATTCAATGAATAATGTAGGTGTAGAGGTAATGATACGCATGCTTCAAATGTCATAGGGGTTTATTTAAAGCAAAAAAGTGCTTAGAATGGCCAAAAGATACCTCTTCAAATGATAACAAAAGCAATAATTATCATAGCAATTGATTTATAGCAACGCCCATGTTCTTTATAACAAATGTTTAACCTGCCTCGACAAAACATATTGTTGAGGGAAAATTTTGTGAACAGCACTGTACAGCATATCGGTAGATATGGTGAGAAATTACTATCGGGATGTTGTCTTTTAGAATACCTAAAGAGGTCGGACGATCGGGGTAGACTTGCGATTTCAGGTAACCCCAAAACCAACATCAGGCGTATTGAGATCTGGGGACCTGAGAAGACAAGCATGGCGGGATTGGCGCCGCAGCACGCGATCACCATCAAACGATGCTTGAAAAAGATCTTTCTCACATGTAGCAATATGGAGTGGAACTCCATCCTGCATAAAATTCATATCTTAGAGCAGATGCTTATTAGCCAGACTAGAGATGATGCGATTCTGTAACCTATCAGCGTACCTGGCACCCGTCACACTGACAGTTTCAATAGCAGAACCAGGTATTTCCTCGAAGAAAACGGATCCGATTACGCTTGACGTAATAAAATCACGTCACACCGTGGCCAAGACCCGGAGGCGAGGATAGAAAAGTGACAAAGTCATGATGGGACTGATTTCCTTTCTCGCTATAGTTCATTTCATGCACGATTCTCATGCGGCGTCTCTGACATTTCAAGCCCAGCGCCCTATGTTGGCCTTTTTTGGGGGTATGTTTTTGGCTTAAATTGAATCCCGTGTCATTTCAGGCGTGTGTGACAATTTTTACCTCTCT